GACACTTTCTGCTTACTTTTGGACCTGTCGCCTCAAAGGCCAAAAAGGAAAACACTTGCACCTGTCCCAAGTTGCCGACATGAATGCAAACTTTTATTTATGGAAATGGCTTGAATTACTTCCTCGTTCGGAACGAGTAAAAAAATAATAAAGGAAGGAAAAAAAAGTTCGCCATCTTTTCTCCCTGGTCCAGTGGCTTTATTTTGAGGCCCCATCGTTGGCTTTCATCGCATAAACTATCTTTGTGTCTTGTGGGACCTTTTCATAAGCACGTTTTTATCTGCTTTACACATTTGTGCGTCGTCGTCTTTCAAAATGGGAACAGGACTCGGGGAGGGTCAAGCGTCCTCGATTCCATCGGTGTCCCCCATTTGGTGTGTTTGCCATTAAAAGCCCCTTTTTTCCTTCCTCCGTTAACAATTGTGTGTTTGGGTTCTGCTGATTTTGTCAGTTTTCTTTGTCATTGATTTTCGATCATAATAATTCCATGTGCTTTATGTGCCGGAAAGTGCCCGCTAAAAAGGACGACAAGCATCTGGCAATCCATTGCAATGCATTTATCCCTCAGATCCGCCATCCGCAAGCGATGAGCTGAGCTTTGAAATGATTTGATTTTTATACTTTTCTGTTTGTCTCCATATCTTTCATTTCCTGAGTATTTTTCGGGGGAATTTCTTCTGCTCACTGTGTGCTTTCCCTTTATGACTTTATAATATGGACATTATCCATCTCTCTTACTGATTTTGTTAGGAAGTTAAGTCATTCGAAGAAAAGCCAAATAAATTGGCAATCCGGGGAAAAGATATTCAGTTGAACGTTTAACTCATCGAATTATAATTGGATGGTTACGATAATTGGCTGTTAATATTGAATAATAATTTAGAAATAAATAGAAACTAATGGGGTGTGGTAATTAGTGACATAATTCATTAATATTTATCACTTTGATAGATCTATAACAATTCTGACAGTATATATACTACATTTCCACAGTTACTTAGAATTTTCCTGAACCTTAAACCCTTGTCTTAAGTTCAATTTCCATAACCAATAGGAGCATCACTTAATATGTTCTCATATCGCAAACATCAAGTTGTTGGTATGAGTTATCCCCAATCTTTTGATAAAGTTAATCTGCAAAGCAATTTCCACAACCTAATTTTCCACACACAGGCAGAGCTGATCCATGTCGAATCAAATGCTCAATCGAGTCCAGGACATTATGCAAACACATGACAGCCAAATGTGGCTTAGGAAAAACAGGAGCAACAACTAACACACTCAGCCAACTGACAACTTCACTTATTCCAGTTGAGTTGTGACGTTCTGACCGCAGGCAGTTGGCAAATGAAGGCAAAGGAAAAGGAAAGCCCGCAAAGAAAAGCCTGGAAAAAGGCGTTGAAACGTTTAATTTCCTTCAGTGTCTGTCGACACTCGGTCAAAAAAAAAAAAGAAAAGAAAAAACCGCAGGCAAATCAAAGGCAGAAGGAACCTCATTAAATTAATGCAAGCCTCAGGAGTTTATCCCCCGCCGCCCAGGACGACCTCGGCTAATTCATGGGAAAAGCCTCTTTAGCGGAGACCAAAAAAAAAATTGTCCTAAGATTTGAAATGCTTGATAGGCGTAGTCGAAATGATTGGCAGGACCCCTGAAGGATCTCAGTCAGCATAAGCCACCGGCTTAGTTTACGTTGTTTGGAGAAACATGGAAACATTTCGTTAGATTATCCAGCATGCAAAGTGGACACGGATTTACATTTCAAATAGGTTTCATTTAGGAATATTTGTTTCCCAATGAATGAAAGGTATCTCCAAATAAATAAAAAAATATTTAAGACAGGCAATAAAATTTTGGTTAATAAAACTTCAAATCCAAGTAATTGTTTAATGGATAATTCTTCTGTTATGTGAAAATTTACTGGTTAGGCATCTCTAAAATCTAACCCTTAACGTTAATTAACTGGGAAAGTAAATTCCGTTTAAGCAGTTAAGTCAGCTTCTCTGATTTTCCTAGAATCATATAAAATTCCATCAAAATTCTTTGTTCATAAAACAAAAAATTAAAACAGTTTCAAGGGAAAATCCGAAAAATGTTTTTGGAAACCACAACAAATGTGACATGGTCAAAATCACAAAAAAAAAAACTTGTTCAAACTTATGAAGTGAACAGCCATGGTTACAAAACTGCACATTTTTCTCTACACTCTTAAACATAAATGAGTTAAATTTGTAAATATGACTAAAGTTAAATACTCTACAAAATATAATATGGCAAAAAAATTAAGCCATAAGTTTTTAGTAGTCCTTATAAAATGTAAATAAATTTAAAAAAATACTATATACCTTTTATTTTATCAATTTACCTTGAACAATTTTATTTTAAAGGTTTAAAGATGAAGAGTTTAGTATTAAAACAGCCTAATCTTTTTTTTAGTCATCCTATGTTATCGAGTGCCTGTATGTGAATATAGAATATATATAGTATGTGGGTGTCCTTGTGTCCGGTACAGATTTAGAGGGACTTTCGTTTTTGCCCCCGTTCATGTTTATTTTAGCTTGCAAATAAAGGGGATAAACAACAACTGGCAGCCATGTTCAACAGCATTTCCGCTTACATGTCCTTTTTTTTGCGTTGTCCTGGGTTTGTGTCTGTGTGCGCTGAACCCTTTCACAGCTTTTGGCTAGGAGCCCCCTGCTCCAAAAGCCAGTCAAAAGCCATCCACTCAATCCTTTGCATATTGCTTATATATATTAGCAAAAAATGGTATGCGTGTGTTTCGTGGATGGCTGCTTAGTCATGCTCATGAAAACGCGAAAACGCGACCAGGAACTGGGGAAAAAAGGCAGAATTTTCCAACTGTAAACAATAAATATAAACATGGAACGCTGTGGGCGGAATCATAATAATCCCATCCCATCCTCATCATCATCATCATCATCATAAGCCACATGCTGTCGTCAGTCAAGTTCAAATGGCTGGCAAATTTTTTTTTGGGAACACTCTTTACCCAGATACCACCAACAAATGGCTAATACATATAGGGTTGAGGGGCAACGAGGTGGCTGATACTGATGGGAAAACAAGGCAACTGCTTAGCATAATGAAAGGTGGCTTCAGGAGTTGCCAACTTTATAAGGAAAATTAAAATGTATGATATTTTATTCATGCTATATCAATTTTAATGGGAAGCATTTGTTTATTTAATAGATTTTAAACGGTTTCTATTTCTAAATAAAAATTATCCTATCGTTAAAAGTAAAATATGTTTCTCAAGCAAATATTCAAAACAAACTTATTAGTATTTACTAAATATTTAATTTGGTTAAAAACCCTCAAAGCTGTCTTTAAAAATTACGTATACGACATGTATGGCACGAAATCTTAAACGCTATATTTATTGAAAACAAGATGAACAATACTGATTATCTTATTTTTTGAAGAATTTTCATTACCCTTTCTTAGTAAGTTAATTTAGACCTCTACAAAAACAAACCCTTAAAATTACTCATACGACATGTATGACAAATAAATTTTAAACTGTTTATATTCGTTGCAAACAAGTTGTAAAATACTGCTTATCTAATCTGTTAAAAATTAGTCATTACCTTTTTCAGTAGTCTTAATTAACCCGCTAAAACAAACCCCAAAAATTACTCATACGACATGTATGCCATTATAGATTTCTAAATAAAATTAAGTTTTTTCTTAACGTTTAAATATAAAAAAAATACAATTTTATACTTCGAATGCTTGCTTAAGAGTTAAACAATTAAAACAGCCGTATAAAATTCCCCACAATTCTTTTTTAAAAAGTCTCATCCGACGAAACTCAATATTTTATTCATTGCGGTTAAGGACTTTTACCATTTTATTTTCCTCAGAGTTGTTGACAATATATATCCACTTCCGTTCGCCCAATTAGCCTTCATCAGCTTCACTTTCGCTTTCGACACATGCAAAAATTATTAAGCCAACACATAAATAAATTGTTGAAATATTTATTTTACGGCCAAGACAAGACAAGTGTAAACAAAGCCAAAAAGGACTGTCGGCTGAGACAGGTGAGAGTGCCGAAAGAAAGTGAGTGCATGGACAGATAGCGACTTGCTTACCTTACATTTTGGGGCGTTTGGGGGTCTGAGTGAAACCGACTCGTAAATAAATACCAAAGACATAAATAAAATAGGAGGAAGAGTGAGTGGAAAACACCCACAGACCGACCCATTTCCGTCAGTGAAAGCCAGCAAAATGTAAATATCAAATAAAAAGCGAAGAAAACCAACGAAACGCTACACATCTTTTGCATTTGAACTGACAGAGTGAGCTGGGGGGAAACTAAGTTCGGGATTTAAGTTTCAGACCACTTGTGTCTGCACATGTTAGCTTGTCATAAAAATGGCTTTCGCCGCCTTCCTGAAAGAGGTAACACACCCCCTCACATACATCAATACAGGACTCTCCACACGCGTTTCCCCCTTTTATTTGCAGTGCTTTCAAAGCCCAAAGAAATGGCTGCCATTTGTAAGCGAGTATAATAATAATGGCCTGGCTGTCAGGAAGAAAAAATATACATATACATATATGCAGCCATAAAGTCTGTATCGATTGGAGTTCATATTCCTCTATTTTCTTTTGCGTCACCTCAATGCGTTATGGTTGGAAAAATATGTGCAATATGGTACAAGTTTGTCTAGAAGTTGGCTAACTAAAAGATACTTGGAAAACTAACTAAACGAGGGAAAGTTGTTATAGATATATTTTGATAGGTTAGTACATGTTCTTATTATTTCCTATCCTTTTAATTTTTTTTTTAATTTAATTTAAGTGTCATTTAAAAGTTTCAATTGCCACCTTTCGAGAACTCGGTGGAAAAGGAAATTAAATATGCAACAACAGCAGATGCTGGCACTTGGCAAGCTGTCAGGCAATGATTAAAATTACTTTTTAAACGGACAGTGTCGACAACTAATCCTTGTTTTTCCGCTCTCTCCTCTTGCAGTTGCAAATGCAAACACAACAATGAGATGGTGGCACAATGCTCTGAGGCGCAAGAGGAAGAAGCCGACGGTGGCAGGTGGAGCGGGTGGTCTCTATTCCCCAGATGCCACCTGTCCGAGACAGAAGCTGCAACAGCAGCAGCAGCAGCAGCCGCAGCAATCCTTGACTTGGGGAGGAGAACCTGTCCCCCTGATTTGGTTGCACTTGTTGCTGGCATTGGTGGCGCTCAGTAATCACACAGCAGTGGCAACAACTGCTATAAATCCTGGGGCAACAGTAACAACACAGGGAGACTATGCAGCAACATCGACGGCAACATCGGCCACATTATCCTCGGCGGCAGCTTCCTCATCATCATCATCAGCAGCAGGAGCAACAGGAGCAGCTTCAGCAACCACGGATAAGTTCTCGAACAACTGGGGCATCCTGGAGGATCCATTCAAGGGCATCGTGCGAATCGGCGATGGCAACACAGTTGCAAGGGTGAGTGTGCATTCAGGGAATTGGCAAAACTAAGCTTGATGTATGGCATTTCAAGAGATTAGCAGGGCAGGACCCAGAGAGTCATCGAAAGGTCTTAACAGGAGATAAGTTTATGGCTTTTTTGATACCCTTAAAACAATATTTTTGTTACTTAAACACTCCTGTATAAAATCTATGTTATCGAGTGATTAAATAAAGAAAGACAAGCATTTTAGTGCACTCTTTTAAGACTTTCTCTAGACAAACCAACTAGTATTTGTGACATACAATCAAATGAGATTTTATTTTCTCAATTGCAGTCTCTACCCATTTATGTGGCATAGTGTAAGCCCCATTTAAGCCGCAATTACACTGAAGTGCAATTGAAATAATGAGATTGAGAGTACTGCAAAGGAGTGCAGATGAGGTGGGGCAGGTTTGCACCTGCAAATTGCGCTTAAGGGGCATCCTCGGGCACTCTCCTCTCGTTAATTGAATTGCGATTGCAGGGCACTTGAAAATCTCAATGCTATTCCAAAATTTATCAAGTGGCAATTTAGTGAACACTTAATAATGATTCAATGGGGGATGAGTGCTATCAAAAACAGAAATCATAAATACATGGGGGAAAACAAATTGATTTAAATGTTTTGGTAATCAAATTTGATGTCTAAGATTATTTTGAAATTATTAGAACTAAAAAAAGATTATTTAAGACGTTCTACACTTCTGCATAAGCAGCTCATAAATATTTCAGCAGTCTCACTCTCTGAATTTATAGTTTTATACCGCACTCTCCTTAACTAGATTCCGGGAAACAATTTCCGCGTATTTTACCGAGGTTTATGTGCCCATAATGAGCCAAGTTAATTAGCTTAAATGGTTAGCTGCTGCTGCGTCAAGCTAATTTCTGGTGTAGATACTACTTGTGCAATGGAAACTCGGTAGGGGGCAAAATTTATTCCCCAACTTCCGCATTCGCTTTCCATATTCCAGTGGCCAACAAAAGAAAAACTTTATTGTCCTGTCCAATCCTTAGACCAAAGACCAAAACATTCAACCAACAATACACGAGCCAACAGAAAATTCTGACGAAAAGTTTTCAATTCAATTTCGTCTTTTTGTCTTTAACAATTTAAAGTCTAAACAAAAGGAAACTTTTTCGGTGGCTAGAATGCATCAAACAAAAATTAAAGCATGAACAAGAAAAGCCAATAACGTAATTTTCCACTCAAACGGTAAAAAGGTCTAAAACCAAAATGATAAACACAAAAAGAAAATGGTCGGGGCTCAATAAATTTTTTGTTTTAGCCAAAATGTATTTTTAATGCGTTTGTCAGCGGCAGACCAACGAAAAATAAAAAACAAAACAAAAACTCTGGCTTGAATAGACAAAAATATGATTTGGGTAGCCGCAAAATATGAATTGGCACTGAGAGAAAAAGAAAAACGTAACATTTTAAATGTAAGAAGTATTTGAAGGGCTGTAAAAGTAAATAAAAGTAGAAAAAAGGAACATAAAGATTTTCTTTATAAATAAAATAAATACAGATATACAATGTGAAAAGTATTAAAAGTTATTTGGATAATACCAAAAGGAACTTGTTTTTATGTTTTTAATATAAAATAGGATCACAAGACTTCAACCTAAAAGTGATATCAGATAAATTATACTTTTTCTTTTAATTTTCTATTGGTTTTAATATATTCCGGCACTGTCTTCTACCTATTCAACCTTTAGAGATAATAATAATAATAATAAACGATTCTCTCAACCATTTACAGACAGCCATTGAACAATCACTGGTGACGATCCATGACATTGCCACCGAGAACCTGGGAACACTATGCATCTCGACCCAGTATCGACCCCTCCAAGTGCCCATCAACTCGGAGCGGTACGAGAGCTCTAGACAAAAGGCCGATTTAGCCGCTTCGATACTCCAGGAAGTTGGAATTATTCGGCATGGCGGTGAGTTTGTACAGAAAATATGTATATTCCAACTCGCATATGTTGTACGTGTCCTTTTATCCCATCATCGGTTATTGATTTTACTTTTGTTTGCGTGTGGGCGGTGCTTGGTGGTCTGTGTTATCGAAAAGGGAATGACATTTTCCGGCTATGAAAATTCATATACAAAAGTCAATACGCGTGCCTCGTATGTAGAGCCGATTAAGGTGGGTGTGTGTGTATATGGTGTGTGTTTTTGGTTAAAAACTGTATCGATATAGTTTCAGTTTCCTTCTCCCCAGGCGATTTAAAGTTATTATGCCTTTGCAGGCCGCAAGCTCTGGACTCAAGCTGTGAGATTTCGGCATTACTTTAATGGTCTGCACTTGCTCACAGCTTGCGGCAGATCAGAAATGGTTTTTCAATAAATAAGATTGGCAAAAATTAAGAGCTTTAAATAAGGGATTTTATCTTGATGAAAAACTGTGGTTATTAATTTACCCCTTGGAAATCAATCAGTTTTATTGATACAAAAGATTTACAGACTTAATTTTACTTCCCAAGGTATTTACTTTTTCATAGAATAAAATAATGCAGAACTCTTTGAAAAAAATTATATACAGTTCGAATAAAGGATATTTATATATTTTACGACAAGAATCTTGATATGAAAAAGGGCTTTCTAAAATATAATATTTATGAAGCAATACAATTAAGAAGAAGTCTAAAAAATTATTAAATTTTAACTAAATTATAACTAATCTTGAATAAAATATACTTTAAAAACCTAGTAGGCTTAAGATTTCTATTACGTTTTGAATTTATATTATTTTGTAAAGCATTTTGAACACAGTAAAGGTTATAATTAACTTCTCATGATAACTTCGTTAAATCTTTCAAAAACCACACTTATATTCCGAGGAATTCGTATTATTTAACGGTGTATTTGTTCGTTCCCAATTCAAACACAATTCCTTATATCCCTTAAGTGGAATTCTGATGCCCTTCTGTTGTGTACAGATTTCATTTCACCCTTGGAACCTTGTCGGATCCTGTGTATATTTGTACTTATTGCCTTACATGTCCTTGCTTAATTTCACAAAATAAAAATCTGTTCCTTTTGGACCTTCATATTCGAACCCGCCCGCCCAGTTGTTCTCGTAAAAGCTTCGTGGGTAAATCACAGTTGAGAACAAGAACGAATGCGACGGATGACACAACGCACAATGCGAACTTTAAATTAAATCTACAGCAACCACATTAACATTGGGACTAACAACGGTAAAGGACACTTACATGTGGATGAGAAGGAAGGCTGCCTGGGCGCTGCTGGGATGGTGATGTGCGCCACAAGTGCGTCGTTCGTTGTCAACCCCAATGCTGTCGCGCGGCTGTCAGGACAAGACTTTCATTCCGTTCCCAGTCGCCAGCCGCCAGTTGCCAGTTGCCAGCCATCCAGCGGCAGCCTTGACAATGCTCAACAAAAGGATACACTGGAATAGAAAATTATTATATTTAAAATTTGCAGCCATAAAGAAAAACTTAAAAGAATAGGAGCTGATATTTGTGATGATAATCACTGCTTAATTCTACAATCCATTTTCTATGAAGAAAATACAAATAGAAATTTAAATTTAAACTCATATTAATCTAAACAGTGAGGAAATCTTTCATTTACAAAATTAAATCAACTTAAGAAAATCATAAGAGAAATCAATTTTGTCTTACCTTCTTTCGCTCAGTGCCTGAATCATCCAATAAAATGATATCAGTGTGTCATGCATAGTCAAGGACAAGCTGGAGCACAAAACGCACAATGAACTCATCGCTGGTGCTGCTCGGGTTCCTTTCTGGTTCGGATCTGGATTGAGATTGGTATAATAAGGGTAGCACGGGTGTGCTGGAGCGCACAAGTTGCCATTATGGTCATGATTTCAACACACCGCCTTGGAGCCGCCACCATCTACGACGTCCATGGTATCGCTGCTTTCTTGCCCATCACTCGCTCTGTGTTCGTGTTCAAAAAGGTGAGACGTGTCAGCGAAAATCGCATAAAGTGAAGGCAAATTGGGGCCTTTTGTTGCTGCTTCTGCCGCTGCCGCTGCTCTTGTTGTTATTGTTCCATCATCCTGTTGAGCGCATGGAGCAACAGGAGGCATCCATTTGTATACACTTTTGGCACTTGTCTCTATCTTACCCATGGACGCCTGGCCTGTGTTGACTCTTGAAATTTTGATGCGCCGCATAAATTATTCGTATAAAGTGCCCTCTCAAATCGAATAAATTTAAGCCAATTTAAAAAGGGGCAACAGTAGCAGCAGCAGCCACTCAAAGAGATATCACTTCCATGGATGTCTGTCAGCTTAGGTGCAGAGTGAAGGTTGGATAAGAAAAGCACTGCCTACTTTTAGGCTAAAAGTTAACACTATGTTCGTGAGGTGCAGTCTATTAGCTTAAGTACAGAGTATGAGAAGCGCAGAGGAGGGCGTGCGCAAAAATCCGTTGCCTACTTTTAGGGTCAAATTTAAAGCGATGAGCTTGAGGGGAGTACAAATTACTCTTTTAATGCAAATATAAAGCTATTGAGTTGGGTTTTCTTTCGGGATGACAAGATCTTAAATTGATTTCACTCGTAAACGTAATTCAACGATAGGTTAACCCAATGGTTAACCAATTCACACTGCACATCACCATTTTCTGGTATGTCCTTTCAATTTTGAGCATGAATACCACACATAATTGAATAAGATTTCCCCCATTTCAGCTGCGATTTCCATAAAATATGGCTCCCAGAAGTCCGCTTTCAGGCAAACCGAATCTCTGGCAAAATTTAATTATTCCTGAACAAAACACCTGACAGCTGCAAAAGCACCTGTGTGTGTGAGATGGGGAAAAACATGTCTGACTGTAGTTTGAATAATTGGCAATTTAACACACTCGCCCAAGCGCACACACTCACAAGCTGGAAAATTCTGTTTGGGATATGTGTCGACCCAAAAATAAAAAAAAGAAGACATACACAAATTGTAACAATTGTTGTTACAATTCCTGCAACACCTTCGCATCGAGCAAAACAAAACAAAAACTTGCCCAAGAGGCAATAAATTCTCAAACTATTCGAAAAAAAAGGACGGGAAAAAGATTGATGATAGAACACGGACGAGTGCGAACCAAATGGCAGAGCGGATGATGGATGAGCCCACGAACCATAAGCACATCATTCCCTTTATGACGCTCCCCCCAATTGCCGTATGTTACCTGCTCAGGTGAAACCCACAGTGTCAGCCGCTTCAAAGTGTTGTTTACCATAAGCGTTTTGTCTCCGCCACATTTCTCAGGATAATGGTGATGGAAAGTAAAAGGGATATGCCCGCATGTATTAATACACAGTAAGGAAATTCCTAATATGGTTTAAAGAAATAACTTCATAAAATATTTAAGATCAGAGTTCAGCTTTGCATTAATATGATAAAACTATTTAACAACGAATAGAGGAAAGGAAAATATATGAAAATTAAGAAAATAATATTACGTAAAAGGTTGATATAAAAATGTACATAATTAAATATAGATCAATAATTAAATATAAATCAAGGACATTTTCTTGCAAATTTAATGTAATGTAGAATTTTTCACTGTGTTTTTGGGGTTTTGGAAATTAACATATGGCTCGTGACTTTTAAACTAAAGCATTATTTGTGGTTTGAGATTTCCAAAGGCCGTTACTGAAAGCTTTATTTAATGTTTAGTTAGAACTATTAATCATCGAGACGTGAAAATGTTTTTGGCATTTATTTTATGAAGACTGTTTTACAATAAATGACTTTGGTATGTATTATATCCTGTTCAAGATGTTTAAAGTATTAAAGAAATGGTATAAATAATATATATCATAGGTAAATTAAAATTTTCTTATTAAAACATTTATTCATTTGGTAATTTTTAAAACAAACATCATTTTGTAGTGCTAAGAAATTAAGTAAACTATGTCACATTATTTTTTTTTATCGGTTGGCCAAAGTAAACATATACACAGTCATTTATCCCACGTACATCACAGATCCTTTGTTTCAATTTCTCCCTCTCTCCAGCTTCATAAAAAGTTTACCAACTACAAAAAAAAAAATGCACGTACACGGTTTATGTTGCTTTCTCCCGAACAAAATCGAAAAATGAAGGAAAAGAGGAAAACTTTGCGAGATGTTAGAGGGGTACCTTGCACAGTAGCAACAAAACGGCAACAAAAACATGGCAGGAAAAGGAAAATAAGCAAGCCCTATACATACTAAAACAAGAAAATAAAGAAAATGTGCCACGGAAGTTGCGGTAATCGAATTTAAATAAGTTTACTTTGTAAACAATTCTCGTTTCGTACTCGCTCCTGCACATACCACCATTGCCCTTTGCCTTTTCCTTTCTTTTTCCTAAAAGTCAAATAATGGTGAAAACTGTTTAGCTATTTTTGCGCAGAAATTGGGAAAATATTCCTGATAGAATTTTAAATACAGTCGAAGAACTAAAGCTTAATAAAAAAGCATAGCTAAAATTATAAATTTTTTTTAATTTAAATGAAAAGTTTGTTTGGTGAAAACATCGGTCAAGGTTTTGGCCAAATTAATAATTAAAGTTCTCAATGTTTACACTTTATTTTTATTTAAAATTACATTTCATTCATTCATTTAGCTTTTACTTTTCTACAAACAATTCATTGTCAATCTAAAGCAAATTAAATTAGTCTTTACTTAAAGTTTTTTAAACCCCATTATTTTTAAAACCAATTTAGTTTTATTTTCCAACTCCTGTCATCATTAAAACCAAAAAGGCACGCGAGTCTGGCGAAAAAAAAATATTAGCTTTTGACAGTCAACGCCCACACACTAACAGAGGCAGTGCAGAAAAAGGGGACGAAACTGAAGGTCCTCCCGATGTCCTGCCGCGCATATTAATCATTGTTGTTGGTTTGACACTTTTCACCAAGGACAAAAGGCACAACTGCAGCGCAACAGCAGCTGCGGCTTTTAATGACTGTTTCAAGGTTGCAATAACAATAACAGATGTTCCCAGTTAAGCGCTTAAAGTTTTCAGCGAATGCACCACGAGGAATTAACAATTTGGTGGAGCACATACTGCAATTATAGTATTTAAATTCACTTTGCATAGCTTATGTATGCACATATCACACCGCCGCAAATGAAATTGTGCGCATGAACTCAATTAAAAGTTTCGTTTTAATTAACAAATCAAAAGCTATTATTGCTGAAAATGAAATTCAAAGAGTAGTCATTTTTAATCGAATTTTCATTGTACAGGGAAAAATACAAAAAATAAATGTAATGTAAAATAGTTGTGAGCTTAACAAAATATTGAGAAATGTACTGTATGTTGCCTAGTTTTTAAAATAATAATAACCTACCAAAAGTAATATTACTCATACGCAATGTTGGTAATAAAAAAAACTAAGCCTTCCTGTGGATAATGATATAATAAAAATAAACATATGTCTGATTAATGTTTAAGTATTAATAATGATGATTTTTTTATAAATTATCCCTATTCCTGAAATTACAGAAAATTACTCATACGCAATGTTTTAAATAAGTCTGCCCTGGATAAAGGATATCATAAAAATAAGCTATAAAATCCATAAAAATAACATAAATTAAAATCATTTATAAATAGTAATAATCCATAATAATTAAATAAACTTAAATAGTAAAGTAAACATAACCAGACATTTCATAAATATTACTCATACGCAATGTTGGTAATAAGAAACGAAGCCCAAAGCTTTTCACAAAAAGAAACACATGTAAAACTGACGAATAAATAAAATATATTAAGATTTATACATTTTAATAGCCCATTCTAATTTAAATTAACTTAAATACTAAAGTAACCATAAGTAGCAATTACAGAAATATAACTCATACGTAATGTTGGTAGCATATTAATAATACTGCATCTACTTGAACTTTTTAAGTTTTTATATTATGATATTATCATCTCTATCTATCAAATACGAAGTTGAAAATGCTAAAGTATTTCTATATAAATCACGTAGTATGAAATCAAACGAGGAGAATAAAATTGCGATTCCTTCTGGGGAATCGAAATGATAGCACACCGTATATGAGTGCTGTAAATAATTAAAACCCACCAATTAGCGTTCTGAATTCAGAAATAACGACCAGTGAAGTGACATGGCCAATTTAATTTCGTGTAAAATGCAATTTCGATTTTTAATTACTCTGTCTGTGTGTGTGTGTGTGCGAGTGTATGTGCTTTCATTTAATTTCCACCACCAATTATTGAAATAATATTTATGCTTATCCAATGTCTGTTTATTGTTTTTCTTACACACAGGCCTATCGGATGCCCTGGCCAAAGGACTGCTGACCGATGACTTTATAACTGGAGCCCGCATTTTGGCCTTGAATCTCACCAACGGAGCGGTGCAGTCCTATGTTTGGTGGGTCAAAAGTGGTCAAGCTGAAACGCAGAGGTACGACGAGGATGGTCTACAGATTGGCAAAAAGCCTGCGGAAAGCTATCCCTGGTAGGTGTTAATCATAAACAATATTTTATATATTCAAAAATCTAAAATTAAAACCCAAACCAAGCACCACTTCCCTGAACATTCCCCTCCTACAATCTCGATTAATTTGGACTCCTCCTCTGCAGGTTCGACGATGAGACCACAACGCCCACATTGCGTTCACCGAAATTTGCACCAAGTCCGCCCAACAACTACTACAAGGGCTGGTGGACATATCCATACTTCTCGTGCTCGGTCAGTCGCTGGTTGGTGTCCTATAGCATCGCCATACCACCAACTGGGCGCCATGGACTGCGGGGCTTCATCAGCATCGACATCGATGTGTCCACTCTGCGGGTTAATCAATGCGAGGCGGAGCCATACCAATTCGGCAGTCGCCGCCAGAAAATGCATCAATTGCAGCAGCAGCAACGCCTACCGGCTATCCGGAGGACCCCATTTTTGCCCAACAGGATGGGATCCAATGACGAGGGCACCATCAGTGACCTGCAGGCGTTCCACAGCTCCCACAAGTGTCATCGCACTTCCATGGTGGTGAGTTAACATATAGGAAAACTATATTATTTAGAAGAATTTTCTCTTAGTTAACTTAATATTAATTATTCAAGCTAAAACTTAAATGCTTATATGTAAAATCTATATTTCTATTTATATTTTCTTTCAGTGCGACTACCGGCAGCCAAGTGCAGAAGTACCGACAATAAGCGGCAGCAAGCTCCTGACCTCGTTGAGTGGGAGCAGCAGCTGGGCCCGGGATCCTACCAGTGCCTCTGCCGAAATGGATTCTACTCGCTACGTCATCCAGATGGCTTCAATGGCACCATCATGGAGATTGCCTGGCAAGAGCAGCAGGAGAACATCAGCAACTATTATACGGAAGTCTTCAAGTGTTTGTCTTGCGCCCCCGGCTGTGACACATGTACGGGTCCGGAGCCATGTCTGGCCAACTACCACTGGCCATTCAGGTGGGTTTCATGTCCTCCTCCGGTTGTTTTCTCATTAGTGATGGGAAATAGTGGATAGGAAAACATATAAGTAAGCTAAAAATTACCTTAGCTTAGCTTGAAACCATCTAAACTTGTGCCATCTCTGTTATTTATTCGGCGACATCAAAGCGTAGGTTGCTTCTATTTAATGCCTTTTCAATTTCGCTCTTCCACAGAATATCCTTGTTGACCATATCCATTGGCTGTGCCTGCGGCACCTTTGTCCTTGCCGGCTACCTCTTCCGGCATAGGCGCGTCAAGGTCTTTAAGGTGGCCAGCCCCATCTTCCTGATGATCACGCTCATTGGATGTGCCATCATGTATCTGGAGGTGAGTTACTTGGGTCATTTGGGGCGACGCTCTTAACCCATTAAACACTCTTAGGGGGAGAGAAGGGGTTCCAGAACACACAAAGGCCATTTGAAAACAATGTTGGTAATGCGACAAAAGGCCCGACATGGTCGGCACAAGCTCATTCATAATTAACCCACATGTGTGTAACCGCCCGGCTCCGTTCTTATCCCATTTCCCATTTCTGGCGGCAAAGGGATCTGTGAACAGGCCGCAAACATAAAAGTCTTACTTATGGGTTTTTAAATGCGGCTTTTAAGCACTTACTCAGGGAAAAGTAATCTAGGATTTTCAGCCGTTTTGCGGCGAGGAATTATTTATAGTTCTACGAAAGTAAAACCTATACTTTTTGAAGATATTATTATATATTTTTCTAAATATTTTAAATCGATAACCTACTCGCTATTTTATAAATACTCACTTATTAAACTATCGTACAGCCATTAGAATGTATACCTTTTTGTTATTCTAATTAACTAAAAATATTAAAACTCATTAAATAAGTTTCATTACATTGTTAAATCAACATTTTTCTTTGATAAATTTCATAAAGATAGAGCATTCCCCATTCTACAATACATTCACCTGAACCAAGTTTGTGGTTACCTATTCCCTTACCACTTGTTGGCAATTATGTTGTCAACATTAGCTAACCAACAGTGCTAAGCCACCACCACCCAGTGGACACATAAAACCACCGTCCATAAAACCTCCATCCCTTGAATAAACACACACAAAATACACACAATGGCAGGAACAAGCAGTTGCAAACAATGGGACAGCAAATGGGTTAAGAGCTTGCAATGGGAAAGGGAATATAAAAAGTAAAGCGGGACAAAATCGCAGTCGATTTTCTAATCAAAATGAACAAATAAAATAAATATAAAAATACAAAAAAAAAGTGACAACAAATTGTTTGTGAAAACTATGAGCAGGAGATCTCCCACGAAGCAAGATGGAAATTCGAAAAGCGAGAATTCCACAGAAGAGGAGGAGGATGAGCTTGCCATGCAGGCGGCCATGCGGGAAATGGTTAAGAATGCAGAAATGGACGAAATGGCACGGAGGAAAAGCCATCGCCTCAAGGCTCGGCCAACACCTAAGGAAGCGGATACAAACAAAAATCAAGTGGAACAAGGTTTACAGACAACTGAATCTCCGAAAAAGGTTAAAAGTTCCAAGTCCGAGACGACGAAAGCGAAGAGCGAAGACAGTTGGGCTTCTATTTTTTTCAAGAGATTGTTCAGGTTTGGAAATCAAACCAAAAGAAAGGACGGCATCCAACAGAAAGCCTCTTCTCCAGAGCGAGACAAGCTCTCTAAAAAAGATTCACCACAAAAGGATGTCAAGGAAAACAGACAGGTTTTCAAACCTCAGACCGTAAATGAAAGGCACTCACCTCCAAGAACCTCCAAGGAGAGTTTTATGCATACCGAACGTTATGTCTCCACTCCCAACCCCATCTCTATGCCAGAAATCGAGGAAATTATATTTCAGGATAACGAATTAGGAAATGAGCAGCTTTCGGAAGAGCTTTTGCAAAAATTACAAAAGATTGAAGAGGCCTCCAAGCCAAAGTCTTGGGTGAGGCCGAAACCGATAGTTATAAATCCAAAGAAGATAGCTTCTCCCACCAAAGACATTGAGAATAAAGTGAAGCCAAAACCGTACGATACTACAAAGGAAAAACGTGGCCATATTAATATTTTGACATCTTCATTTCCAGGTAGTTTAAACTATGTCACAAAAGGAAAATCTGCAGAAAGTCCTAGAGAAAACTCAGCAGAGAAGCATAAAGATAACATTCCTGAAAGTACTGAAAATTCATTTAGAAAATATAAAGAAAATACTGAAAAACCCCCTGACACGAAACGGTCTTCGGAAACTCAGTTAAGAAAATCATTGGATCATCATGATTCGCAAAGGACTTTAACAATCAAGGGACATAAGCATATTACCACGAGATGGGGCGATCACTGCCATTATGAGGATCGTCAAGACGGCATAGATAAGGTGGCCAAAAAAAATCTGATTATCGCCTGTATTTTGTGTTTTACCTTCATGGTTGCCGAAATTGTTGGTGGAGTTCTCTCCAAAAGTCTGGCCATCGCCACGGATGCAGCCCATTTGCTGACGGACCTTGACGCGTTTCTAATCTCCCTGTTCGCCTTATATTTATCTGGAAGACCTTCGTCACAGCGTTTGAACTTTGGATGGTATCGGGCAGAGGTCATTGGGGCCATGATATCCGTGTATCTTATCTGGGTAGTTACAGGTGAATGATAAATTTTATATTATACGCATTCTGCAAGTGATCCATACCCTCAATTCCATCGCAGGCATCCTGGTATACATGGCCATTCAGCGGCTGATAAATAAGGATCACGATCTGGATGCAAAGATAATGCTGATTACCTCGGCACTGGCAATACTCTTTAATATTATAATGGCCTGTCAATTGAGTCACGGACACTCACACTCTAATCTCGGGAATCCAAGTCGAACGAAGATCACGGAGTCACATCATGGGAGCGGAAGTGGAATAAACTCTCACACGGGATTAAGATCCCCATTGGGTTACTCTGTGTCCACTCAGCTCTCTGTGAAGTCTGAACGAAATATTAATGTGCGGGCAGCCCTGATCCATGTGGTTGGGGATCTCTTCCAGAGTATTGGGGTCTTTGTGGCCGCCTTGATAATATTCTTTAAGCCCGAATGGGCCTTCATGGACTCCGTTTGTACCTTTCTGTTCTCGATTCTGGTGCTAGGGGTCACAATTAAAATATTAAAGGATGTCCTTATGGTCCTGATGGAGGCCACACCGGATTACATGGACTACGATGAGGTAAAGCGCACATTTCTCTCCATTGAGGGTGTGATGCATGTCCACAACTTGAGAATATGGGCACTGTCCATCAACAAGGTGGCCTTGTCTGCCCATCTGGCCATTGCCAAGGATGCTGATCCACAGTTAATCCTCGAAAGAGCCACCAGGCTGATCCACAAGAGGCACAAATTTTTCGAGACCACTATCCAAATCGAAGAGTATTCTTCTGGCATGCTGGATTGTGGTCAGTGTGCGGATCCCTTAAGCAAAAAGGATACTCCGAATCCCATCGAAATGGAAGAGGGTGCTGCGGTTGGGATTCTGAGAAAAGCAGAGAAGAAATCCAAGGCTCCGGAAACGGATTGAAAATAACTGGAACTATTAAATAATTGTATTTATTTTTGTAGACTGATCATATTCAATGTCTTTAGTGATAGTAATTGTTATTAAGTAATGATAAATTAAATTTCGTTGCCATTTTTGTAATCATTTTAAATCGGGAAATTTAAATCTTGAAGGGAGATTTTGTTTACTTAGGAAAATCATTGGATCTATTCATGATATTCTTAAATAAATATATATGTTATATGTTACTTTTTTATTAATATTAATATATAAATATGTTATATATTACTTTTTTATTCTTAGATGGTGGCTATTTTCCCCTTATTGGACACAACTTGGTGCATTGCCACGAAATGGACTCGCCACATGGGCTTTTGCATCACCTACACTTCGCTGTTAATGAAAACCTGGCGGTAAATAGAACTTAAAGTAATACTGAAAAATATCTTTAAAAGTATCTTAAATTTTTCAGAGTTTCTTTAACTTATCGCGTCAAGTCGGCACACAAAATAAAACTGAACGATCAGCAATTGTTACAATGGATGGTGCCCATCCTCCTGGTAATGCTGATCTATTTGGGGACTTGGACCATTTCGGCAACACCCTATGCTGAAGTGGTAAGTTGATTAGTATAATTTATATATATTTAATTGTACTTCTTAATTTCTTTTAAATTCCCAAAGATCTATGACCAGAGTCACCTGAAGTTCAAGCAGTGCTCGTATAATTGGTGGGATCACAGTCTGGCCATAGGGGAAGTATTCTTCCTGGCTTGGGGCATAAGGGTTTGCTATAATGTACGGAATGCGGAGAGTCTATATAACGAAGCGAGGCTTATATCATATGCCATCTACAATATTGCCATTGTTAACATAGCCATGGTGGCATTTCAGTAAGTATTAAGAATTATATTAAAATAATATTCAATAGACAACAGGAAAAGGAAAAGAATTAAAGCACCTGCTTTGAGTTAAACTAGAAATTACTCGCTAGATTTTTTTGATATTTTCTTTGTTTTTAGTGTATGTTGGGGGTGTGTGGATCCTACCCACCTGATGAAGGTCCTTCTGCCGCAGAATTGAATTATAACAGTTGACACATGTTGGGTAATCCAAACATGCTGGGGCACGCGTCGCGGCCATTAGGGGAAATGCAAAGCTGCCCGGCTTGCGTCTTACGCGGTCCCTTTTAATTAAATTCCTTTGCTTTGTGCGCGCTCGTGTTCGCGTTGTAATCCTTTTGTTGGCCTGCCAGGACTCGCTGCCATCCGTCTCTCTCTCAGTCTCCCGGTCTGTCTGTCGCTTTGTTTACACACACATTCCTTTCCTGGGCATCAGCATCATCCTTCTCTCCGGTTTCAAGTTGTCTGCGGGCTGGCTGCTCCTCGCTTCTAAAGTCCTTTTGATGAAGTCCTTGTAATTAATGCAATTTGTTGGAAAACTTTTGTGCCACGAACCTAAACCTATCCCAATTGGGTTAGGTTAGTATTGTGTAAAGTGTTAATTGGCTGCCGAATGAAAGGTGCAAGAATTTATTTTCAAGTGGGGAAAAGAAAGCTAAAATATATTTAAATGGGACAGTGGAAATAATTAGAAATTAAAGTGGCTACAATTTAACAAATTTAAATTATGAAATCAAGTTAGAAAGAGAGTAATTATTGTTTAATTTCTTTTTAAAACCAGTGTCATGCTCTTTCCAAATGCTGGACCGGATTACAAGTACATGCTGGGATTTGTGCGCACTCAGCTCTCGACGACCACAACCATTGCTTTGGTATTTGGACCCAAGATTTTGAGGGTCTTCAAGGGCCAAGGTGACAAGTGGGACCAGAAGGCCAAGGTGAGGAGCATAACAGCTTCATTTTCCCTAAATGGAGTGGGTCTGGTACCGGAAGAGTCGCCGGATCTCTACCAGGAAAATGAGGAGCTTAAGGTGGGTCTTGGGAGAAATAGATCTAGGAGTAAATTTTATAAATGTGTTATTTTTGTAGGAACAAGTCCAGAAGCTGGCCCATCAAATCGAGTTCATGAAGACTGTCCACATGCAGATGAACAACAGGCATCTGAAGCCAAAGCCGGGAGGATATTTTACCATCACCTCAACCTCGTTCCAAGCGCCCTACAGCAAGAACACGGTTTCCACGGCACAGACGCAAACTGGCAAAGATGAGGCCAGGTGGGTTTTCTACTTAAATTACCAAGGGATTAAGATATTTATTTATTTAATATTTTTTCCAGTGGCACGCCAACGAAATCAAAGTCGCCCAAGGGCAAAGTCTGACGAGGTCAACGAAGTGTTAAAGATTGCTCAATAGAAGTGGATGAGAGGCATGGCATTGCCACAATGGTGGAGGATGCAATTGATTTTAGTTTCCACCAAGCAGACTCGGAGGAGATAGTTATCCTCAAGGGAGATGAGCAGCCGGGCTCAGAGGAGGCAGCCCTGCTGGAGCAATTCCGTCGCCTTTTCGCACCCATTTTAAATGATAGCTTAAGGCTCTACTACCAGCTTAATGACTCGGACGATGCGGAGCACGTGAGGATCCACCAAACGGTGGCACAGCTGAACGATGTGGGTAGCAGTGAGGAGGAGACAATGGTGACCCAGGTGAATAGTCCATCGCCGTCGCCACCGGTGGAGGTGGAGTTGCTTCTGCCCCTTTCGAGCGACAGCTCAACGGCCAGCAGTTCTCTGTACGCGATCCATACCCCATCGCCGGCTCATCCCAGTGGTGTGATCCTGATGCCCCAGAATCTAGAGTCGCCACAGTTGTCCCACAGTGATCCCATCACGCTCACCGAACAGGTGCAGCTGCATAATCCTCCGCCGGAGGACGAGAACAACACGTCCTGTTCTCTCTCATCGAATCTGACGGACAGCAAGACCCTGGATGGTCGCACTCCCATTGTGGTCTGAGGAGGAGGATAATGGATATATTCCCCGATCTGCTTAACTTGTGATTTCGTTTACACAGTCTTAGAGAAACAACAAACAGTTGGCGGAAAAGGACAGCTTAACGTTAAATATTAGTCTTAAATAATGTTTGTGTGTATGTGTCTGTCAAAGTTGTTAACATATTAATTGCGTTTATGCGGAACGGATAATAAGAGAGATATATTTATATATTTCAGCCATACAAAAGTTATATATGAAATATCCCACCAAGTATAACAAATAATTTCCGGTTTATATCTATTAAAAATATACGTAATTGGAATATATTTCTTTTTATTTTGATTTTGTTTAAATAAAAACAACTTTATTTAATTTCTCTTTTATGAACCTTCCAACTGCATAGACGCAATCTAGATGTGTGTGTTTTATATGGCTTAAGTTATTGCTTCTTAACCATACACCCAACCAATATCCAATCATCCATGGTCATCTTCAAAAGAAAAACAAAATGAAAACATTGAGCAAATTTTTCTCACTTCGTTCGGATCGAATAAGGAAGTTGTATAGGAAAAGGGAACTTTTGGAAGCCAGACGGCCTGATGGCACTCATAGAGTAAGGCCATCAGGGCCCTTAGGGACTTGGCATTAACATTTCTGATTTTATATCTCTCACATGCACCTAGCGAAAAATAAATTCCATTTTTCTATTTTTCTCTCTGCACTCATTCATAGGACAATTATTCTTTGCCTTGTAGTCAAATTTACTTGATTTTCATACTCATATGATCTTAAAAGCGTAACATTTAAGCTTAGCAAAGAGTCGATTTTAGTGTACAAGACGATATACATATATAAAAGAAACATACTTGATATAAAAACTAATTAAATTGAAATTTTAGCGTACTATTTTAAGCTGAGAAAGTGTTAACAGACGCGCAATTCTTACTCATAAAGTTGGGCATTACGTAAACTGAAAAGTATTCCGCATAAAAAATAATAAAACAAGATTAATTAATAAATTGATAAAAAAATTAAAACATTTATGGCATAAGTTAATGTTAATAAATTAAAATATTGTAAAGGAACAAAGTGGCAAGAACAAAGAAATCAAAAATAAATGTTATAAAACTTAATCAAATTATTTTTCGTATTTTTTGTGAACATGGGAAATATAGCATTTATCGAGGAAGATTTTTTAGTTAATAAATTCGATTAGTCTCCAATTTTAATTTCTTAGTTTTGCTGTCACCGATACAAGGTGATAATTTGATATCAGGACATACACCCGTCATCTTAGACATGGTCAAAGTACTCATTAGCGAATTGGTCAGCAGGACATGTTAGTGACTAATAAACTTTCTCCTCAATCCAAGTTTAAACCTCGCAGGACATGTTCAAGTTCCTTCGTCAGAGAAGTGTTTCCAAACTCTCCGCCGTAATTCTCCGCTGGATGTTCTACATATATAGATCCTTTGGCATTTCCTGGTTCAAGTTCAAAACTACAACTACTAACCAAATGACGATGGAAGAAATTGGTCCGTGCTGGAAGTGGTCATTGAGTATCCTTCGCGTGGGTGGCCTATGTTTGTTCACATTCAAATACTTCGAATTTATGATTATGATAAATAATTGGTTTAGAAAATTCATACACATCATCCAAATGTTACTGAATATGGCCTGCTGCCTGTGCCTCCTGAGATTGCACCTGGTTCAAGGCACAGAATGCACTAATTTGATCAACACATTTCTCCAAATTTTTCAAAAAGTTCAAAGGCTTTTCAAGGGGATACATTCGGGATTTGGAGGAACACATGAGCTAGTGTTTTTAATCCTCACTCTTTCAAGCCTAACTTTCGATATAGTGTTCCTGATACGGCTTTTTATGATAAAGAAGTATTGGATTATAGATATCTATGTGTCCGTATGCAATAAAGTTCTCTTGCATATCGCCGTTGTGGGCTATATAGCATTGGGACTGCTCTACGCCGACTTGAACGAATATGTTTCCACCGAGTTCAGATCCCAACTGGAGTCCCTGGAAGAGAAGCCCACCGGTCGGAAACTGAGGAAGACCCGCAAGAACTTGGACAAATGTTTGAGCCTTTACAAAGACGTGCAATCTTTGACATCCATGTTTCAAAGGATATACGACCTGATGCTACTTTTTAGCTTGGGGCAATCATGCATTAAAGTTGCCTTGGCCTCTTACAGTACCTTTATCATTCTCGATATTAGCTTGCCATGGCTGTTGTCAAAGATCTCTTTTGAAATTCTAAATATGTTGCTTTTGACCTTATCAGTGCAAAGGACAAAACTTCAGTTCGGAAATATCCATAGACTGGTGTTAGAGAATTGTCATCTAAGTGAAAATAAGGAGTGGCATAGAACTGTGAGTAGATGGTTATAATTTCCTCCTTTTATACAATATACATTGAAATTTGTATAGTATTTATTTTATATTATTTGTACTTATTTCCTACAGCTGGAAGTGTTTTTCACCCATCTGAATCTCTACGAATTTCAAATTCGTCCATTGGGCTTATTTGAAATATCCAATGCACTCTTGGTGAATTTTCTCTCGGCCTTGATTACCTATCTTACCGTAGTCATTCAATATGGAATGCAGCTGGACATTATAACCTTAAGGAACTAATTAGGCTCAGAATAAATCAAAAACGCACAATTCAAAGGTTAAACTTTTACCTTACTCGTTGTCAGAGAGGCTTAGTTACTACAATACTTGAACTCACATTATTCAAATGTTTATATTATATTATGCTTATCTAAATAAAGCTGTCTTTGACTTTGACAACTTGACTTGTCAGTTGAAAGGAAATCAGAGATTCGATCATAGTGTCCATTTTCATTAACTAAATGCATTCCTACGGACTTTGACTAGAAACAATAGTTTTCTTTTCAATCGCAAGTTACACCTACTCGTAAGAAGTTTTATTGACCCTTTCGGAAGATGAAAATTTCCACAATTTCCCTCATTATTTTGCGAGGATGGTTTTTTTACACCAGATGCATTGGAGCCGTGTTTTGGCACTTTAAACCAACGAAGGACTACAAAATGGTTATGGAGGAGAGCTGGTGGAATCGATTGTGGTGGAAGTGTTTCTCAATAATTTGGCGCCTTGTGCCGATTTGTCTTAATGTCTACAATTGCTATGGCTTTATATGGAGACTAGCCAGCTTGGTTGATAAACTGGTGAACTTTGCACGACTTGTGATCATTACTTCCTGCTGTTTGTCACTGATACACCTGCAGATTTTTCACGGCAAAGAAGTGATTCGATTGATTAACCAAAACCTTTGTTTTTTTAATCGAGTATCAGCTCTTTTGATTCGTTCAAAGATTGGATTCGGTGGCAGACGAGAACTGTGTCTGATAATATTATCTTTGGTCTGTCAGGTCCAAGAAGTCGTCTTTCTATTGGCACTGTTTCGATTCCGGATAAATCAAAGGAATATTTTGGCTTGGTCAAGTTGCATTTATACCATCATTTGCAGTAATATAATTAAGCGTTTCTGCTCTATTTGGTACCTTAGCCTAGGTGTTTTATTTTCCAAGCTGAACGAGTCCGTACGTTTGGAGATACAATATTATAGGAGAAAACAAAAGCTAAAGAAAGCCATGGCTCTTTTTAGGGAGATATCTTTTATGATCACTTCGCTGCAGAAAATCTGCGATAAATATCTCTTTTTAAGCCTGACCCAGACACTTTTTAGCGTGATATCGATCTCTTACAAAATGATAGCGGACCGACAATTCTATCAGTTTTGGATATGGTTCTGGTTTGTAAAGATAATGCTCGACATACTTATCCTAAGCTTGGCCATCGAAGGAGCAGTGAATCAGTTTGGTTATATTCGCGAGGTAATCCCGGATATGTTCTTTCTCTCTGAGGTGACCGAATGGAACAGAAAGGTTAGTGGTTTTATTAAAATTACACCTTAGTAGGATACAAAAAACTATATTCTCATACATTTAGATGGAAGTATTCGTCACTCATCTGAACCTATACAAGTTTAGAGTCAGACTCTTGGGTCTGTTTGATATTTCCAACAAGTTTTTCCCCGTGGTTGTAACCGGCATGATAACTTATCTTGTTTTTGTCGTACAATTTATAATGCAATTAAAAATATAAATTTGAAGAGGAACGAGAAGAGTTATTAATATATTATCGACATCGAATGAATGCCATATTCAGAACTTAAAAATCATAGTGGCTTTTGTCTAAATTTTCCGGCATTCCCAACTTTCCAAAGTTCTTATGAATATATTTTTTAAGCTTTAACAAGTTCTGTACCAAATTCTCAATGTTGGGGCCGGAGGTATTGGACGAGCAGTTTGAATGCCTGCGTCGCATTGCATTGGCCATTTGTCAGACCCTCGGAAGGCCTAAGGATCGTGAGATCTGCCGGAGTACCCTCGACGAGATGGCCAAGTTCAATAAGGCGGCATCGATCAAGGCCAAGGAGAATGTGCACAAGTTCATGGTCTTCTATCTGAAAGTGCTAAGATGGACTCAAAAGAATCAACCGATTACTATATACGAAAATGGGTGAGATTTCTGGCAAAATTTCCATTACAGCTTCAGGTTTAACTCATATAAACCGCAGTACGGCAAGCACTCTGGTAATGATTCGTCTTATCTGGGTGACTCTGAAGAAATGCGCGTTTGGTTGCAGGAGGGATCATCATTCTTTGCCATGAAAACTTTTGAAGATGGATCCACTTTGGTTTATACCGCAGTTGCCAAGGATCCGAAGGCTGGTTGGGCGGAATTCGGTCTTAAGTCCCTGATGGATATGCAGTACGGTTGTAAAAAATAATCTTGTGGAAAAACTCTACATAGAGGAATATATTTCGACCGTGGGTGCATTGCTCGAGATTCGGTTTACAATTTTATGGCTTTAAGATTTGCTTTAAATGTATACAATATTCGTAGCTTTTAAGGCTTAAAGTCCGCTTTTATGGCAGATCGATTTGACCAACTTAGTAAGGGAGTAACAACAAGAAATCTTGTAGGAATAATCAATTTTGTCTTTTAGCTATTTCTTAACATTTTTTTTCAGTACTTAAAATATATCTGTCCTAATGTGATTTATGCATATTTAAAAGCAACATAAAACATTCGAATTTAGGGAAAGTGTACGTCCAGCTTTAAACAAAATTGCTAATTCACCGCTCTGTTTTCCTTTTGGTTTGGCAAATCGATCTGTCATCGTGCTGTCACAAGATCTAGCTTGTCTTTAAACTTTTTAACTTAACTTTATAAATGGAAATGTGGACGGAATGTGATTCTGTTATCAAAACTCATTCTCAGCTTACGGATTAGTAAGAGTGTGTGTAAAGGCACAATTTGTCTTGTTTTTTTGGTCTTAAGAAGCCACTTTCTGTTTAGCTCCTTACAATCCTTGAGGCGGCTCCCATTAACAGGAAAGCCAAGAGCAGTTGAAGAGATCCGTGCATTTTTATAAGACTGGACCCATTGCAGCTGTCACTAGAGCAATAGCACTCTTCCCAGTAGACACCATTCTCGTACACGCCCCAATTACAGACTCCAGTTACTCCGGTATCCGAAACGGATGCGCATCGTCGGATTACCTGGCGCCAGCGGCCGTCCCCTGGAAACAAAGCAAGATGTCAAATAAATAAAGTTATATCGTGGATGGGAGAAGAAAACAATCAGAAAACTCACAGATAAAGCCGCGGGGGCCTTGCTGCACCACCTTCATGCAAAACGAGCCTGGCATGTGGCTCTCATCGCTGTTGCATTCGATGGCTATGTGCTCCGTGCGATTGAACCGCTTGTAGGCTCCACAACTGTCGTGTCCCTTCCGATCTTGGTCGGATGAGCACTGATAGCAGCGAATAGCCCAGCTGCCTGCAAATATTCAGTGATTAATTTCAATTACAGCATCAAAAAAAAAACATTTGCAAAGCCACACCCAAAGCCGAGATTAAACCCTTGGCGACGGGCATTTTACAGAGCTGTGGCTAATTACATACCGCAGACGGCCAGCGTGAGGAGCAGAAAGGCACAGCGTGTCAGGGCGGACATAATTAACTTAAACTGCGTTGTGCGTTTCGGTTAACTTAACTAAAATGCTTTTAAACTAAAAAGAATAACAAACTTGGAAATAAACGCGAGCCTCAGTGTGGCAGTGTGCCTGGCAGTCGAAAATACCAAAATTTCAAATCAAAATATCGAATCATCGATATTTGGGCAAACAAAATATTGCAACATCGATATATCGGCAAACAAAATACCACGATAAAAGATATCATAGTGAGAAAAACTATCGATATATTGATATATTTGCAACAACCCTAAAAATTTTCATTGTTTTGTTTTTTCCGTCATTAGAATTAAGTTAGACATTTAGTATTAATATGACGACATTGGGCAACATCTGCCGCGTCTGCAGCAGCCCTGCAGATTATGAAATCTTTGCCAAGATTCCCACCTACCTGCACGGATCCACGAACGAGTTTCTCAACTGGCAGAAGCCCATTAGCGTTCTTCTGGAGGAGACAACGGGCCTGAAGGTAAGCCATCTCCATTGTCTGGTCCCACGTTACGTTTTTTATCCCTGCAATTCTCACAGAATTCCACGGACGACGGCCTGCCCCGCAACATTTGTGCTCCCTGCATCTCGTATCTCAAGCACGCCGTCACCTTTCGGGAGCAGTGCATCAAGAATGCCCTCAGTCTAAAGGTGGCGGAGCTATACCAACAGAAGCCGGTGAATATCTCGGACGCGAACAAAGTGGACAAGGAGAACGCCCTTTTCACTCCAGCAGACCTGCGGTACGTGGAGCAGCGCCCGGTGCACGATCTGCTGCTAAACAATAGCCGAGCCAAAGTGCAGGCACCCAAAGACAAAGTGCACAAACAACTGCTAAACCAGACAGCTCCCCATTTGGACAGCAGCTCTGAGCAGCGGATCCAATATCTCAACGTGCTTTTCGACAAGCACCAGCGTCACAATAGCTTCCAGAGACATTCCAATGACAATGAGCTCCCTACGAGCAGCGGCAACGATGGTACCAACGAGGACGACGAGGACTATGGGGCGGTCAGTTCCAGCGACGACAACGAGGAGGCCGCTCTGCTGCGCAAGCACAAGAACTGCTATAACTACAGCGAGACCAATTTCGAGGAGGACGATCCCATGGATCAGGACCAGGTGCAGTTGCGCGACATCAAGGTGAATATACCGGAGCCCATGTGGAAGGAGCGCAAGTGCCCGGCCTGTTTAAAGCGCTTCATGTTCGAGGACTCGCAGCAGTCGCATCTGGACAACTGCGTGGAATACCAGTTCGTGGCATTTGTGAACGAGGTGACCAAGCTGCTGGATATTAGGCGGCAGAAGATGGTTTCGCCCCATGAGTTCATCCGACGGATGATATTTTCCCTGCACAAAACCTGCACTTGGCTGCAAGAACATTCCGTAGACTCGCTTCTGGCCGAGAAGCTTAACCAGGTGAAAATTTCCAATGGCGAAAAGACAGCTGAAGTTCCCGTGCCCGCTGAAATTCCTGCCTCGCTTCTCGAGGTAGAGGACGAACCATTTTCCACCTTTAACTTCATCAGTGGTACAACGACGCCAATTACGGAGGAGAACAATGTCCTCTATGCCATAGCGCGCTCCGAAAGCCGCAACTCGACATGTACGCCACGGTTAAGAAGCCCATTCCCATACGCGGAACGGTGGCGGCCTCATCACTGCCTTTTGGTATCGGCAAGGGCCCAGGTGACATGCACGAGGAACGGGCCACGTTTCTGGAAAAGCTGCATCGAGCGGCCTTCACGCCCGGCTCGGACACTCCACCATGCCAATCGGGATTAGCTCCAATATTCTCAGCTCGATGCGGGCAGTGCAATATAGTATTTGACTCGGTCTCCGAATTGGAGATTCACAACGGAACACATCATAATGGCCACTGTGGCAAGGAAATTAGTGCTGACGCCGAAGCACAGCGGCGACAAATAATTGCGCTTTTTGAAGACGACATCTAAGTTATCCAAAGAACTGTTTTTTGTGTATGCTCGGTGCAAATAAGCACTTTTATTTTATTTCAATTGTATTATTTATTTATTTTATGTATTTATGTTTACCACTTTGGATTACCTCCTACATAGTCCGAAGCCCAGGGCTTGACTCTTATATACATGGATGTATATATTCAGACCAATAAAGAGATTCGAAAGACTTACTTAAAGCTCATGCGTATACATTTAAGCGATCTAGGACTAGGTTAGAGTCGCAAATGTTTAGCTCTAAGAAATTTCTGAGTAGACGCATAAGGTCAGTGCTAAGCTTGGCTTCGTGTAATGCAAAAAGCTGATTAAGAACTCTAACAAGATGCTCTGGATTCGCCAGAATTCCTAATAGTGCAGGGTCGCCTATGGCCGCCAAATTTGCTAACACCCGTACTCCGTAGAACAGACGCAGCTTGTGCGGGAACAAACCAACTTCGCCCGACAAGCTGGCTCCAAAGAAATTTACTAGGCTCCCGGCTTGCTGGACACCAAGGCCTTGATCAGGACCCACTAGCGCCAGCTGATGTACGATGTACATAAAGTACTCGCTGGCAGGATCCTCGGGTCGCTTCTCGTGCAAGTGCTGTCCCAGGTACTTCCGATCTTCGGTGCTCACATGTTGCAGGGCGTGGGTGGCCACCAGAAACAGGCAGGTGCCAGCATCCTCTTGGCAGCCTCTCAGTTCGCTGGCGGGCGCTGTGTACAGCTTCCACAATTTGGGAACTAGCTGCATTTGGAGCAAGGTCTGGGCAGCTTTGTCGCAGGTGACTAGAACGTTGGCCAGGGTCCACAGACAGCTGTGCTTCAGCCGCTCCTCCTTGCCGTCCAGATAGGTGACCATGTAGCTGCCCGCCAGACTCGCTATCTTCTCGGACACATGAGCCTCGCCCAGAGAAAGGTTGCACAAACATTCAACGGCATCAATCTGGCGCTGGATGTGAGGACCTAAAAGGTGATTCCAATCATTAAACATAGTATGACTCTTTCTAGCTCATCTACTTACCCGAGAGCTCCTTGACCACCACCTGGATGGCGCCAGGAATCGCCGCGAAGGCGTTGATGTTCTCGTTCCCTTGAAGAAAGGCCAGGGCCAAGCGGTACAGGTCCTCAGATGTCGCATGCTTTCGCCGCTTAATCCTAGAAGCTAGTCCAATCACGTCCTTGATCCCCAGGTCCTCGAGCGTCGTCACCTCTTTCTTGATCTGTCCCAAGCCTAAACGGAGCGCGTCCTTCGCTTGGATTCGGCACTCCTGGCGCTGTTCGCGGTCGTACACACGAATCTTGCTCCTCAGGGCAGAGTTCTCGGATAAAGGATCCGGTACGGAGGACATTTCTTTAGTTGAGCTGTGATAAATTCGAAAAACAGCACTTGTTGAGCTGACTGTAGAATTACTCGGTTTATGCGATGAATATCGCGAATTACCGAAAAGGCAAAACAAAAAAATATATTTAAAGCAATTATAAAACAACATTTTAAAGAATATTTAAATAAAATTCAGGTCTATTCTTGGAGAGCTTAAGATCAATCAACATTTATACTTTAATTTTATTTCGATTTCGTGTATTTGTAGAAATTGAAAATATAGCCGCAAAAGCTTTGTGGCCAAGACAATAACTTTATAAATTCTTATAAAAGGCTAAGCAAACCAAATCCTTAAAATTTTTGCTATATATATAACATAATTATCCAGATTTTAATTTATATTATACAACATTATTAAACACAAGAAAATTTGTTAATAAACTTCTGTTTAATAATATCGCATGCTTAAATATATCGATGTCAGCCACATCGATGTATCGATATTATTATCGCTGTTACTCCCAGCCCTAGTGGTGTTAGTAAGGCGAAAATTTAACAATTGAATTCCGAGTTAATTAACTTTGAGAGCAATTGTCGCGGTCAGCAGTGGTGCAGCAGGCGAGGTCAACACAATGCAGGTGTGAGCCGCTGGTCCGGCGCCGTCGCACAGCAGCACGATGCACTTTTCCATACCGGACACGCAGGAGCTGGGCTCCTCGCCCACCTACACAGCATACAACATACACATCAACGGCGTCTACCACTGTCGATTGCGCTACAAGCAGCTCCACTCGCTCAACGAGCAGCTGCGCAGGCACTGCGGGGGCGTAAATCTGCCGGCGTTTCCCCCGAAACGTCTTCTGCCGCTGACCAACGGCCAGCTGGAGACGCGACGCAGTTCGTTGGAACAGTACCTGCAGATGGTGGGCCAGGATGGCCGCATCGCCCGGTCCGCCCACATGCAGCAGTTTTTGCAGCGCGCTCAACTGGATACGGCGCTAGCCGAGGATATGGTTACTAGTGACTGCGAGGAGCAGCAGCTGGAGGTGCAGGTGTACACCAGTCCGGCGAGCGAACGCCTTCTTGTCAGTTGCAGTGTGCAGCAAAACGCCGGGGCGCTGCTTAAGGCCGTGTGCCAGGAGCTCCAGCTGCCCGAGGATCTGACACGCTTCTTCTGCTTGTTCCTTGTGCGTCGCATGCGAAAAACAGATGAAATTCATCTGGTTCGCCGACTCATGGACTTCGAGTCTCCGTACATAACGCGCCTACACGTTCAGCCTTGCGACTTGCTGCTGCGTACCTGCTACTGGGACTCTGGACTGGACGCCAAGTTGACTGGAAGCAAGGTGGCCCTTAACCTACTGTACAACCAAACAGTGGCTGATGTGAGCCGCGAGTGGGTGGTAATCTGTTCGCCAGGCGTGGGCCGCCAGCTGAGTAGCCTACAGCAGCAGGGAAGATCTCGAGAGTACATGGAATTAGTGCGCCAGTTGCCCTCGTACGGGTGCCTGCAGTTCGATGAGGCAGAGGTGGACTATCCAGAACCGAATACGATGGCGCTTGTTAGCATTGGCAACAAGGAGCTAAGCCTACGAACTTCACGCGGCGCCAAGATCTACGAGACCAAGTTTCGGGTGACTAGGATGCGGTCGTGGCGCGTTAGCGTCACTCACAACCCTCTGGAGGCGCGTCTGGAACCCACACACCTGCAGCTGGCTTTCGAGTATCTGATTGCGAAACAGACGCTGCGATGGATAACCATCACAAGTGGCCAGGCTATGCTGATGTCGGTGTGCCTGCAGGCGATGGTCGACGAATTGCTCAACCGAGGAGGAGCCGGAAAGGCGGACCCCAGCAGCGACGATGAACATGATCAGCCGGCAGTCACCTCTTCCTCATCCACGCCCAGCTCAACGTCCTCTACATCGACATGGGCATCTTCCACATGCTCGGCGTCTACAGCTTCTTCAACGCCGCCAGTTAGGTTTCTATCCGAAGACTTGGCCCCCAGGTCGAAGCAGCAGCCCAGGTTCACGTCCCGGACATTCGGAGCTGTATTCTTCCGCAACGACGGGGCAGACAATGGAGCACGGGTGTCTAACGAGGCGTTTGAGGGTATCGGAGATGATGACCTATGAATGTGCTGAGGCAATTGCCAAAACGAATGCTTTTCTGAGAGATTAGAGGAGCCGCCAAACTAGTTGTAACTCCAAGTGCAGGTGTATGTGCATATACAGAATATTAACTCATTTTATGTAATTAAGGTTAAAGATTTTATATGTGTGTTATAACCAGACTACTCCCCCTCTCTGCTACTTTCAAGTGTTACAAAACCTTATCAAAGGTTGGCGTAATGTGTCCTTTACTCAATGGTAGTGCAGACGAGTGGCGGAATGAAGGAAATTAATGCTCAAGATATATGGCTCGTTTTACCAGCATTATTTATATGTATCTACATGTTGAATTATTGTAAATGATCTGTAAATGGAATTCTTATGACACATTTTAACTTCTTTTTTATTATTTCTTGTATTGTAATATATGTACGTACGTAAATTACCTTACTTTAGCGATAGCGAAATATGTTATGCATTTTAAAAAATAAATGTACTGTACTATGGTAAATGTATTAGGCATCAGTGTGGATATTTCTCTAAATGGAAAAATACGAAGAAAACAAATACATTCTCGAAACTGTTGATTGACTTCCAAATGCAACCTGTAAAATGAAAACAAATACATTCTCGAAACTGTTGATTGACTTCCAAATGCAACCTGTAAAATGTTTTATAAACTACTTCAATGATTTTGTTTCTATGAAAATGGTAATATTTAAAGTGTTAATGGTGTTTTTTTGATATTTTCTGAAACAAATAATTTTATGTTTTGGTTTTTTATTCTTAAAGAAATATTAATATTACATATATATTCTTGATCATTAAATATATATAGATCTGGGTATATATGGCCTTTTCCGCCTGTCCGTTTTAAAGATATTTGAATTGTCATATCATTATAGTGTTGTTTCTACTGTCAGAGAAATTCCCGGTTAATTTTTTACAGACATAATATTTTAAATATTGATATTACATACATAAAATATAACATTTTCTATTTTATTTAAACTTTAGGAATTAAAAACTATTTTCTGAAAAAATGCCTGCGAAGTCCTTGGGGCAACTAAGCAAATTATGGTGTATCGACAATGCCTATGATAATGTGAATTTTGTTTCTATTCATTGATTTAGAATACCTTCGGTCTAATTTCATAACGTTTCAATTTTCACTGTAGATTAATAATTAAAAAAAATTTTATCAAGAATAATTTTTTAGGGTTTTTAACAGATTATACTCTTTTTAACATTAAAATTTGTATCACAAAAATATAAACAAAAGTCCTATGACATGACAATATAAAAGAAATCATTTTAGTTGATAATTAAATGTAAATCATTTAATATAAAAAGAGTTCCCCAAATATTTTTTTCAAATATTTCGTAAATGTTAATATGGCATTTTATGGGTTTTTACTTTCTTAGATAAAAAAAAATTAAATGTATCATTTTATTATAATTAATAATTAATTTTAAACGAGTACCCCAAATATTTACCCACAAAATGTTAGTGTGGCATTATAACATATTAAAGACAAAAAGCAGCGGTCACACTGCTGTGAAAGAGAAAATTGAGGGAATATAAATAACTTGTAAGCGATAAACAAGACGATTTGAGGATTAATATCATACACCAAGGACACATCGGAATGGAACGCAATAACGGGTATGAAAATATAATTGCAGGTCTTCGGGATCTTCCTGCAATCCACTGTAAAAATGCCAGTATGCGTCGTTGGACGACAAAAGACGGTGTTTACATACATATGTACATACGCACACCCGCGGTACATACATGGCGCTCGTATATATGTTTATACTTATGTTTTCGCTTTGCTTCTCCACTATCTTCACCACAGACGCTACCCCTACAATATACGCCGCCAGAACAGCGGCGGCGGTGGCCACAATGCTATCCACAGCTACCACCACCACCATCACAGCAACAATAACAACGTCGGCTCATCCTCGTCACCGGCGGGGGCGACGTCCAGTGCACCTGGCTATAGCAATCACAGTGCCGGCAACTCACCCTCATCACTGGGGGGGCACAGCAGCAGCAGCAGTAATAACAGCAACGCCGGTGCGACCTATGGCCAAGCTGGTGCCCAGACCCAGAGCCTGCCACTGTCGCAGCACGATGAGCTGATCCGATACATTCATGAGGCCTGGAACAAGGTAAGCAGGCGTCTGGTATTTTGGAATAGGGCCATCCACTTGTCACCGTCTCTCTTTGCTTTCTGCCCCGCGGCAACCAGGGACCGTAGATCTATTGATATTTGCTTAATAATTATTTACAATACTCTCTTCGTGGCCAGTTTAATGAGTCACTATATGTTCCATTTGTTTAAAGCTACGTCGTCAGTTATAAACATTTTAATGTAAATAAACCTATTAATTAATAGTACAAGGTAAATTCATTTTGCCATTCCTGTATTCGAGGAAAAATAAATATAGATAATTCAGATTTAGTCTTAAATAATTTAAATTATGTTTAGGGCAAAGTAAAAAAGATTGTTAAAAATTAATTTAAAAGGAGACTTTATAAAGGATTCTATAAATTTTCCCAATATGTGTAGTCCCATATTTTGTAAATTATTTATTAAGATCTTAATCAAAATCTCTCATTGCTACGGTCCCTTTCGTGATAATATCGGTTGCTCTTTATGCTTCGCCAAACACTTTTCGCTTCAGGTTAAGGAGCAGGGCCCACCTGTGATCTACTGCAACGAATCTGATAATCAGCTGAAAAACTTCAAGCCATTCGATCTGGAGGAGTACTGGGGACAGCGCCTGATCCAGAACATTCATGTGACGCCCACACAGGCCGGGGGACACCAGTAGAAATGGGAATCTTACAGACGGACTACGGCATGTGCTTCATGTGCTAACAATTAATTAAATTATACACAAAAAAAGAAACGGAAGGGGTGCCAAATATTCCCCACAAGGATTATATATTGACTACTTTACACTTTTATTTTTGTGCGCCTTTGTTTTGGACTATTAAATGTGTAAAAAATTTATCTAAAAAAGAGAATCCACTGCCAGCTGAAAGGCAAATGATACATTCAATAAAGCGATGATTGGCTGACTTTTTCTCCCCCTCAATGGCACCCCCACCATTTAGCATGCTGTCTGCATTTAAGTGTTAAGCATTAAGCGCGCTTTAAATTTTGACCAGAACAAAAATAAACAACTTTAAGAGCGTAGAAAAATATATAGATCTGTGTATTATTTAAAGAATTTAATAAATAAATGCGGCAAGTATTAAGTGTTCGTTCTATTAAACAAAAAAAATAAGACAAAGCAGGCCTTAGGTACATAATCAAATTTGGAATATTAACATTTTTAAGATCTATCAAACTATACAGGAATAACTGAATTAATTAATTACTTGAAACAGCTATTCAGAATTTTATAGAAATCTTTAAGTAAGGTTTGGATATTTGGAAATGGAAAACAATTAGCTTTCGATATTTGAAAATAATTTCTAAATGCTAACTTTTAAAGACTGCCAATTTGATTCATAAACAAACTAGAAGAGTTATGGAGGTAGTAATATTAGATTTAAAAATTAATTTCAGGTTACTTAATTAGATTCAAGTCTGCCCAACCATTGAAAGTTTCGTGCTCTTTCTAAGTGTTTCTATTGAACTTCTAAAACATATCAAAAAATAACAAATTATTAGATAGCTAACAGAAAATTAGCTAATGTAAGCGTCTTGCTAGGCCAAATGTGAATTTAAGCAGTGTAAACACCTTCAGGTATGTACCTGCAGTCTGCGGGAATGCAACGTAAACACACATCGCAGCACACACACCCTCTCGAAGCAAAAACACTGCTCTTTTTGTACTGAACTGCAATTCGTGGTTTATAAAAGTTACTTTTATTTCTTCTCTCACTGTTATACATCATACCGCGTAATTGCTGTCGTCCAACACAAGCGTTAAGCTAGCCGCTCGTTGCCTCCTCAGACCATCTTGCGCAGCAGACGGTTGATCTGGTCCTCGCGGTTGCCAAAGTCACCACCGTTGACGTAGTGGTTAGCCTTCTTGCGCCAGCCGCCGGTGGGGGTGTTGAGCTTGAAGGGCCACAGGAAGTTGGAGGCGTACTTGAAGTTGGGGCCAACAGTGAAGATCTCGTGGACAAGATCCTCGACGCACTGAATGTTGTGCGCCTGACGGAGCTTGCGCTCGATCACAAAGTTGTCGGTGATGGGCACGCGCTGACGGCTGTGCTTCACGAAACCGCGCTTGTAGATCAGCGAGCGCACCGACTTCAGGTTGGGGTAGCCCCAGGTGATGTAGGGCTCGGCAATGCGGAGCATGTTAATCGTGGCCTTGTTCAGCTTGATGAACACACCGTTGTTGATCTGGCGCAGACGGAACAGCTGGAGGACCTTGCGGACCTTGGGAGCCACCTTGTTGATACTGCAAGCGAGCGGGTGGAGAGATTAGGGCTTTGGCTTGGAGGCAACATGACACACACTACTCACCCGCGGATACGGATAACAAAGGCCAGCTTGGCCTCAGCGGGCACGTAGAACTGGTTGCGCTTCTTGGCCAGGCGACGGAGCTTGATCTCACGCTGATCCGCCTTGATGTACTCATTCTGGTACTTCTCGGCACGCACCAGATTCTCCTTCTTGCGCAGCGCGATGACGGCGGCACGCTTCAGGCGACGTTTCGACTCGGCGACCCGCTTGCTGATTTGTTTCTTGCTGAACTTCAGCTTGGATTCCGGCACAGCGGGCAGCTTTTTCGCTGCTGGTTTCTTGGCGACCGGAGCTGGCATCTGTGGGCAGCGAAAAACAGTTCCATTTGAGCGCGCTTGTCTCAAGTTAAGGGGTATTTTTTTCAAAAATATTGCACTAACCTCTTACTGGTCACTACACACGCTGGTAAAAGAAAGGGAAAGAAAGACCGGAAACGTGTACTACACCATGGATGAGCTGTCAAAACGGATCAAAGCAACCCTGCGTGCCAGTGTTGGTCAGTGTGCCGACTTATCGAAGGTGCGGTCACACTGGCCGATAGGCAACTATCGAAAGAATACCATCCCTAGATCAACAATTGTGCGCGAATTTGTGGATTTTGGGTGAGTTCCTTAATTTTCTTTAATAACTTTATTACTGCTCAGTAATTCTTTGATTTGAAAGCATTATTTTATTGTTCAGGAGCTTTGTAGTTGATATATCATTACCTTTACAGACGGCAGGCGTGTGGGAAAGCGTGAACACCAATTGGAATTTTAACTTTGCACTTATTTCTTACCGGCAGCTGATCCAAAACTGTTGTTTAATTTAAAATTCGCTTGTTCAAATGAATTCCACACAAAGCCCCGTGTACCACACATCCGTTGAACAAAAACGGCATGCTCAGGATGTGGCCCGAAGGCAGAGGATGGGCAAACAAATGCCCAAATTGCGCGAAATGCTGCGTGAGGTAAGGCAACTATACAAATAACAAATAAGCAGAAATTAAAGTGTTTTATTAACCGTTCCAGAAGTACCGCAAGCGCATCATTGAAACCCGCAAGCATTGCACTGACTCCAATCGTGAATTACAATTGGTATTTTAAAGGAATCCATATAAATCAGTTAAGCAAACACTAACACCTTCCCTTTACAGGCGGAACTCAGGGAAATTCTTCGCATGGAGCTTAGTGAGTTGGAGCACGACTTGGAGCTGGAGCAGCTGATCTTGGACGAGCTGCTCTCCGATGTGAATGAATGGTACGCCCTGGGCGAACAGAACCTGGAAACGCTTTACGTAGAGCCAGATAATAAGCAACAGCAGCAGAAGGAGGTTCTGTGTCCCGTTTGCCAGATGAAGCCCTTGCAGCGTGAGAAGAGGGGTTACCTCTGCGAGTGTGGCGTTCAGTTTGAACACTCTGCTGACATGGAACAGCTCCAGAAGTTGCTGCGCCACCAGATAGCCAGTCACGAGCTAAAGTGCACTCAGGCCCTGCGCTTCTTTATTGAACCCTCTTCGGGACACCTGTACAACATGTGTGGCAGCTGTGACTACTTCTCATCCGTATAGTTTCTTGTCTTGTAAGAGCGAACGGAACGCTGGCTGCGTCCAGCATAAAATTAACGTGATATTGGAATTAGGAAGTAAGCTCATGTAATCTGAACATTTTCTGTAAGAGACTCGATATGTTAATCTTGTTTGTTATCATCAATAATTACCTAGATGTAAAGTAATCTTGTTCTTATCTTATTTTCAATGTTTTTGTATTTCTTTAGATTTATTTATTGGTTTAAATACCATACATTATAATTTGGTTAATATGTAATATGAAACTTAAACTATAATATATATATATGTACATTTAGTAATAAAATGATTGGGAACTTCTGTGTCTCAATCGTACATTCTTAACTTAAGGCTTCTCTTTGAAGCAGCAAGATTCACCATTGAAATCATGTATATGAATTAACCCAAGAGACACTTAAAATACTCTTAAAAAACACTCAAAAACTCACTCAGAAACTACTGCAACCCCCCAAAACTTATCAACAAATAAAATTAACAAATTTTCTTTTTTTCGCCCATGAGGAAGAGCTTTCCTCAATCGCTCACGTGCACGATTCAACCCGATGATCAATGCAATATATATGTATGTATATATATATATCAGATCTAGTTCGGGTGGCTGCGAACGTCTTCGTGATTTTTCCGGCGTGCGCGAAGAGCTTAGTGCGCTGCCATGCACGGACGCGGTCAGTCGGCCTTTTCTTCTCTAGAAGATTTCATAATCGCGGAAAACGTGCGCCACAAAACACAATTCCATATCTCTCTTCTCGCTGCTATTTTGTTTATCCAAAAAAGCATAAGAAAAATTACTTTAAATAATAATAATTGTGGACGCGACGACGGCCTCTCAGTTGGAATGGGAATAAAGTTTTCTTTTTTGGATACATCTCACACAACACATATTGCGGCATCACAAACCGCAGTGCATATTCCCGATTGCGAAATAGTTTGTTTATATTGAGAATTTCTTTTGAATTTTACTCAACCTGTTGTTGTTGAACGCGAAAAAGTTGAAAAGTGAATGCCTCAAGAATCGTATTTAATTGTGGAAAATATATGTACATATAAAGGAATATGCGCAACGGGAAGACAATAATATACATTTTTGGAATGAAATCAAAAAAGTGAAATCATTTTTGAGGGAGGAGAGTCAAAGATCCGGCGCCAGTGTAAACTTTAGAAAACAATTAAATTCCTACGGGGCTGCGGGCTATTTGAGTTCGTTTTATTAGCCATTATGAAGCAGTTGTTCAATATAATACACTGCGATCATTTAAATGGTCATGTACGCTCTGTTTACGATAATTTAAATACAGATGTTTGCGGCATTGACCGTGTGAAGCGTGTTTTTACGTGTATGAGCATTATTCTGTTACTTTTTGGATGGCTATTTGTTTGGCAAAGATATAAAAAGTGAGTTTTATTATAAGTACAATATTTCAATTGTAATAAATCATTTGAATAAACAAGTGTTTTCTAAATCCACAAAGTTTTCAAAACCCTACGAATAGCAGTATTGACACATTTTAAAGCTATATTTAAAGAATTCCCCCTTGTTTTATTTGTTTTGCATCCCAACCGAATAAACATGTGTGTTTTTGTATTGTTTACAATGAGTTGCACTCTCCATTAAGCGCTATTTTCACTCATTAAAATTGTGTAAAAGCTTGTGCTAAAATAGGGTCACTAGCTCTTTTGATGGAGTTTTCCTGAGATTATCGTAAGAGATATTTTTTGCTATCACATGTTCTAAATTCACCACTAAAAACAAAATTAAATATGTACATATTTCCCTCAAATGTATTTGTAGGCGAATGAGCACATTTGTTTAAATTTAGCACATGCGTTTTTGTAGATTATACAAATTCTGGAGAGAGATGACCATGGAGCTGGAGAAGTTGATTTATGTCTTTGATTTTATACGGGAATTAATTTTAAATGGGCTGCGTTGTTTCCTAATTGAATTTGGTTGTTTCAAGATTAAAGCTCTCGTATATTAGCATGGAAATATATTGGAAACATAATTAATAAGGAAATCGGAAATTAATTAATTAAATTTAAAATATTGAACAAAATTACTCTTTTACTCTTTAAATATTAAAGTTTTTGGAAGTTTAGTTTAATATTTGAGAAAAAAAAGTTTTAATAATCAATAACTTTTATATTTTTAAGACCAAACACTGTACTGTAAATTAATAATAATTTTGTTAATTAATGATGTAAAGCATAGATTAAAACAATACAGTCTCAGATTTTCCTCAGAAAAAACATACTCTTTCCCTTACAATATAATTAAATCAAATATTCTGACCTTCCTTATGTAACTTTTAAAAAAATCCACTTAAAAACCAATAATTGATATCCGGGAACTCAAGTGCATTCGTCATTGAGAAATATATTTTGTATGTGCATCCCACACAGTGAAATTAAAATAAAAACCCACAAATGATACGGAATTCATGGAATAACGCGACGCGTGCCAAAGTGTTCTCAATGAGTGGAAATCTCAATTGCATCTACACCTCACTTTGTGCTGAGGGTGCACATTTCAATACAAATAAATATGAATAGCCCAGATATACGAAATCAATATCATTATTAATTACAGTTAATTATAGAAACATTGGCGGATATTTGTCTGACGGCTGCCTAGAGCATGATTTCTATGTTTTGTATAATGCACATTTTATGAAATGGTGTCAAAAGAAATATTTAGGCTTTTAGGCTAAGAGTTTCTACAATCTAAAATGAATAGTTGTTTGCTGATGATTGAAATAATCTTTGATCTTTAATTAATTAAAATATATTATTAATATATGAATTCTGTTTCAGTCAGCAAACGATACCACTAATACTATTTATTAATAGAAATTTACTGAAAGAAGATAAGATGCTGTTAAGATTATACAAAAACAAGTTTATCAGTGAATAAGTTAATTAATTTCAATTTCGTTCTAAGTGAAAGTTCTTAGTTTAAATAGTTCCTTAAATACAAGTAAAATCAGATTCACTTTCATGAAGGAGGAAAGCGGCTTTATAATAAAATTATTGTTAAACCTTTGTGCATATTCATAATTAATCTTTTACTGCAGATGCCATAAAACATTGCTAATGTTCCACAATGTACGTGCCGCCGTTTCCCTGCTCCTGTTGGGTGCAAATAGTCTGGAATTGGCCAGGACCCTTCTGCCCCATCGCAGTGTCCGTCAGCTCAACCAGCTCTTTGAGTTTGGTCCTGGAGAAAGAAATTTCTTGATCGTTATTGGTTCAGGAGAAGCATGGAATGCACTATTTGCCACACTGCTGACACTTACGCTAATGCTGTATCATCGCATGGTGGAGCGCAAGAAGGCGACAGGTGAGTTTTGTTTGACAGAAGCATCTGTAAATGTATTCATTCACCTGTCCCCTTGGGTTTTCTCCTCTTTTATTTTTCAGTATTTCTGTATGCAAGTACAGCCGTTGAGGTAGTGCTTTTTGCCCTGCGCACCAACGAACTGTCCGAGTTGGTGTACTACGAGATGTCCTGGAGCTTCAGACGTGCCTGGTGGGTGTGTCAGCCATGTGCACGATGGCCTTGGCATCCTGGATGGTTTACCATTTACAAAGAGGTAAGTATACTATGTTATTTATAGATTCATTTGAAATTATGCCTTGGTTATATAAAATCAAAAGTCTCTAAGTTAGTGTATAAGGATTAACTTCTACCAAGGTAACTGCCTATGACTGTGGCAATGGCAGAAGCTTGTTTTTTAATTCCACAGCCAAATAAGTACAAGTTGACATAATAAGAGAGGAAGCGACAACATCGCAATGCGATTTGCATGTTTAAATTTTAATTGAGGTTAAGCGCAGATTTTAAGCTTAATGCTTTGTATACTTGTCGAATATTTTATTTATTTCTTTATGTTAGCTCGGCAAAAGGACGAGCCTCAGAGTTAAAAATAAACGCTCAGCAAAAAGGATGTATTTATCAAGTCAAATGAATTATGATAAGTTAGAATAATTGAAGTCTGACTTTATAAAGTTAGAATTTAACATAAAATTTTATTAAGGATAAATATTACATTTGTTCAGCCTTCCTAGTTTTTAAATAAATTAATCTACCCAATGCAAGTTAATTAGTAAATAATTTAAATACATTAATATATGACCATACCTTTCTCTGGCAGTGCTATCATGATGACTATTTGGATGACCATGGCAAAATCGGCTACAAGCATTCACTGGCCACATTTTATTCCAAATCCTGCTTCTGGTGGCTGACTCCTCTCCTTGGCTGGGCTACAATGAGCCGCTGGAGCTGGAGGATCTGGGCCAAATGAAATTGGAGGATAGTGCCAGGAGCCATTACGACCACTTTCTATATGTTTATACAGAGGAGGTGGTAAGCAAATATTCATATCCATATCCATATCCACTCGTATAATTTTCCAACTTTGATCCACAGAAAAAATCGAACTCGTCGCCATCCTTGTGGTATTGCTACATAAAGAACAGTTGGCGATGTTTGCTTTGGGCGGCATTTTGAAGCTGGCCGCTGATTTATTTGCATTGATTGGACCGCTGGCCATACAGAAAATAGTTCAGTATATAGAAAAACTTTATGCCGATGTCGGAAATTGGAATCGGGAGGAGGATGATGACTCTGAGTCCAACCTGCTGTCCACCTCCAGTGTGAGCACCGAATTCGACGAGGTCTTTGGCACAAACATTGGCCAGGTGAGGGTTTACTGCAGCACCTGGTCGGATCTGTTGGCGAATGGCTGGTGCATCGCTTGGATTGTCCTGCTGGCCGCGTTGACGCAGGGCGCATTGTCCCAGGCCTCGACGCACATCCTGAACATGACGGGGCTCAGGATTAAATCGTCCCTGCAGGGTCTGATTTATAGAAAAAGTTTGCTCCTAAATTGGGGCGGGGGTGGTGATGCAGATGAGAAACCTAAAATGATGACACCAAAGGAACTTCAGAGCAAGTGGAAAATTCGACTGGTAAGTATTCA